CCCATTTTGGCTCTCCACCAGCTAGCAGCATCTGGCCAGCTCTGAGAGTAACTTTGGGTTTCCAGGTCGGCAGATCGGGTAGGACACATTAAAGACTTTATTTCCCTATTTTCTCCCTGAGTTGTACATTTTCCTTATTTCCTTTTCCCTTATAAATAAACCTTTTATTAACCTTTTGTGTGTGTCTGTAGTGGAGTATTAATAAGTCCCTTTTAAGCGCGCGGGTGAGGACCCACAGCCAGGAACCCGTTCAATATCGGGGCTGTCCTATAACAGTACTACCAAAATAGATAGATAGATAGATAGATAGATAGATAGATAGATAGATAGATAGATAGATAGATAGATAAAACCTAAAGCTTAATTCTGGCAGGTGACTGTGTAATGAGCACTGTTCCTTTTGAATGGGGAGAGAATATAAATTGTTATAGCCACAAATTATGACAAGTGTCAAAAGCACTAAACACATTGCTAAACTCTGATCCAGTAATTCCATTTGTTAGAATACAAGCTAAGGAAGGAAAAATGAAATGTAGATACTTAAAGGAAGGAAAAATGAAATGTAGATACTTATGTTCACATGGGTCATCACAGTACAATTTTAACAAAGAAAAGGAAACAACCTAATATTGAAATGGAAGAGTTTTTATACTTTAGTTTGGGGGGAAGGGTTGTGCTATAATGTTTGATAGCAAAAACACAGAATTCAAAATCACATATTTAGTAAAATCTCTAGAGTATAAATCAAATGTCTACAAATGCATTAAAAAAAGGTTAAAAGTAAATATACAATAATGTGCGTGACATATAGATATTACAGAGCCTGCTGGAGCTGAGTCCAACCCAGGATGCGCCTTGACTCAGTTCTTGACACTGGGTCAAGTTCAGTTTTCTCACTTTTGTTAATACAGGATTCCCCTGCTTTTCACGTTACACTACTTCACAGTTACAAAGAACCTCCATCAGTACTGTTTTCACTAACACAAGAAAACTGAACGGTTCGGCGCGGTAAAGAAAAGGAGAGCCAGGCTAAATTTGTCAAAGGGAGGAAAATTTTATTGCGCCCCGGGTGGACCTCAGGCACCCAAGGTGGGGGTCAGTGAAGCAGAGCATGTTGTTAGGGGGAAGCAGGGTTTTATAGGGTGAGGAGAGGTCAGGTGGGAAACTGGGCTCCTATGGCAGGGAAAAAGTTTGTTGGGTGGGAGGAGTTTCTTGGGGCAGGTAGAAGTTCTTTGTCTGAAAAGAGACTCCTAGGGGAAGGGGGGAGGCTCACTGCCTGAATCCTCCAGGCAGGTATCTGCATTCCTGCCCCCCAGGTGGGCTTCCAGGTAGGTTTTTTCATTCTGGCCTGCTGCATGGACCTTTCAAAAACCAAAGAGGATTTTCCCTTTTATAACTAAAGGTGAAAAATGAAAATAGTATTCAGTATTTGTTTTGCAGGAGCCATTCTAGAAGCAGCTGAACCCCAAGCAGCAAGAGTATCCCTACCAGCTCCTTCCCTGCAAAGACTTGATTATAGCAGTGTCTTGATTATAGCAGTCCTGTTTCACTGTGTGTTGGTGTTATTTAGGTTTTATATGTTATTTGATGTGACTTGATAAGTTATTTTTTTGGTCTGAGAAGACTTAACAATATTTCCATATGAATTAATGATAATTGCTTCTTTGATTTAAACTATTTTGGCCTAGAAAAGATTTCAAAGGAAAGCTACTCTTTGGGACAGCAGAGAAAACCTGTACCCTCTTTAATGGTATATATGGGAATTAAATGAGATAAAAACTATTTTACTGTTACATGATATAGCTGAGTTCTTTCTACTCATTCTTTCTAATACATAGCCAATACATGAAGAAATATTAATAATGAATTTCTGTGACTTAAAGTCAGACACCTACCACATAACCTAATTGTCAGATAATGTTTTTACTCCTTAAATATGCCTCGTTTCTTTTACATTAGACTCGTGTATGGTTTAATCTTCTGAAATATATCAACTGTTTTCCTGCAAGCTAAACTACTCATGACTACTAAACATGATCCACCTTTTTTTCAGAATGGCCTGAAGTTCATACTATAAACCAAGTGTCCCTGTGAGGGAAAGATCATTATAGTCAAGTATGTGCTGAGTGAAACAAGGTAATTACACCATTAATGATTGATTGCCTTGATATATCACTCACAACAACCTAACATCAAGTTGTTTTGTTATAGAGCAACCCCGATATTAAACGGGTTCCTGGCTGTGGGTCCTCACCCGCGCGCTTTAAAGGGACTTATGAATACTCTACTACAGACACACACAAAAGGGTTAATAAAAGATTTATTTACAAGAGAAAAAGAAATAAGGAAAATGTACAACTCAGGGAGAAAATAGGGAAATAAAGTCTTTAATGCGTCCTACCCGATCCGACGACCTGGAAACCCAAAGTCACTCTCCGAGCTGGCCGGACGCTCCGAGCTGGCCGAGAGCCCAAAAAATGGAGCCCCCCAAATCCCACGTGTCTGCCTTTTGTATCCACCTGGCTGCTTAACCCCACCCTCAGGTCCCAACCACCTTCCCTTTGGTGGTGATGGGATTTGGAGTTCCCAGTGTCTTTGGCTTTGACCTGGGGTGGGGGTGGAGTCCACAAAGCCTATATGGAATTTGCTTTGGGACATCCTTTTCCCCCTAACAGTTTCAGTTTTATAGATGAGAAAAATAAGGCTCAGGGAAGATAAGCAAAATGATGAAAGTTCACAGCAAGAAGGCAATAAAGGATTCAAATCCTGATGAAGTTCCCAAGACCTGCCTCCTGGGGAGCTAGACCAGGTTACTGTAGCAGCCTGGCTTACTGCTGGAGCCCAGATGTTTCAGTCCTGTAACAAGTGCTACTGTGTTCTTATGTCTCGCCTTTGTAGCTTGTAGGATTTTTACCTTTGTTGTTCAGTAGTTAGCTGTTTAGTTAGTGAGCTAGTTAATTTGGCTTTGTTTCCTAAAGAATTCTTATTACATTTTGGCACTTTTAACCTGTTCTACTCAAAGAAATTCGAAAAACTGCTTATGATTATGTCTAAAAGCCTGTGAATGAGCTTCCAAGAAGTCCTCCCATAAGTGAGGTACAATGACCTGGTGACTTGTTCTCTGATTTCCTGGGGGTTAGGAAGGTGTCTTTTGGCCTCCTTCCGGCTCCCCAGCTGCATTTCAGATAATTGAAGATGTTTTATTTATGAACTTGGAACATTAGGGATACTATTATCCACCTTTTTTATTACAAAACAAAATGTCCAACTGTTACATAATCATTAATAGCTTCTATTAAATCACTGCTATCTTCTCTCTTGGCCCACTCTCCCTAAAATTCTGGAATGTACATGTTCTTGTCTGCATTTTAGAGACCAGAAAACCAACACTCAAAGTTTCCACACCTGGCCAAAGGCATTCTGTGTATAGCTCATTTCAAATCATGTATATATCAAGCATGGGATTTGATTAAAGATCTATCAGCAGTGAGGGGTTCTTCACGTCCTGAGGGAATTATGAATACTTTTCCACTGTGTCAAACAGGCGGTTCTAACAAAGATGCCTGGAGTTTGGCCAGTCCACATAAAGCTGGGCTGAAATCTGCAGTGCACACCTCCAGGGGGCAGCTCGGGGTTGTGTACATGTAAATGGTCCTCCCAAGGGCATGCTTGTGCAGACGGCTGGCATGGTGCCCCTGGCACAAACGCACAGTCTCCTCTTCCCTGGCCCCAAGAGCCCAGAAGAGCAACAATAGTGGAGAGGTGGAGGAGAGGTCTCAGCAGTTTATTGGAGGACTGTCAAATAGACAATGGAAAGCCCCATAGGAAGGCTCGGGCATCAGACCTGAGAAACGCTGGGTGTGCTCCGGGGGCTGTGATTTAAAACAAGGCTGGCATGCTCTCACCTCTCAAGTGCTCTCACTTTCCCTTCCTATTACCGGAATGGGAGGGGATAGAATAATCAGGGTGATAATCATTTTCTCTGCTATCCCATTTGGAAGTTCATTTACACATAATATATAAAATTCTTTGTGGATGGCATAGGTACAGTCCATTTAACTAACCGGTGTCAAAATCTATGTCCAGCTTTTTGTTGTTGTTGCTTTTTTTTTTTTTTTTGATGATCTATTTTTATTTTTTGATGCATACTAGAACTGGGGTGTAGGCCAGGGGGGCAGAGGTGAGACAATTCAGCAGAGGCAAAGAGTGGAGAGCAGAAAAAGCAGATCTCCTGAAATACACTGCTGAGGGGCGCAGCGGGTGGGGCAGGAGGGGTCTGCTGCGCCATGTGGGTAGCTGGGGCGGGGGAATCGAACTCAGGCTGTAGCAGTGATAGCACTGAGACTTAACCCCTAGGCCACCAGGGAGGCCCCCCTCCATGTCCACTTTTAACTAAAGTGAATTCTCCAGTAGATCTGGAAGCCTCTAACGAAGGTGATCCTAATAAATCACATGACCTTTTTCCAGCAACTTCTTTTCTAAGACTCTTTCCCAAATGTTGACCCGTGGACCAGGACAGTGCCCCTGAAGGACCGGCAAGCCTGGAGCTCCCCCAGGCTACCAAGGCTCAGCCCCTGGAGGTGGCAGCCTACACTCCCGTGCAGGTCTGGCCCTATGCGGTTGCTGTCTCCGCCAGCCCCTGGGCAGGCCATCTGTCACATCTGGGAGTTTTTCAGTCCAAGCGCAGGGGCATTCTCAACCACAGCCTCAGTATCTGGTATTTGCAGAGAGAAACAGAAGCAGAAAAAAATGGGATTCTTGCGCAGAAAGTTGGCGCACAGAAGAGTTCAAAAGTGGGCGGGTGCATGTGCTTAAAAAAAAAAAAAAAGGGGGTGGACACCCCACCAGCCCGGGCTGCAAAAAAACATAAATGAAGCCTGCCTCTCCGCGGCCGGCGGCCCTCCCCGGCGCGCGCCAGAGGGTGTGACCAGGCGCCGCGCCCTCCCGGGTCCGGCCGCCGAGCGCCCCGCCGCCCCCCGCGCTCCCCGCGCCCTCCGTGCCCCCAGCGCCCTCTGCCCTGCCCGCCGGCCCCGGCACCTCCGGGATGAGCAGCGCCAACGGCACGTCGCCGCCCCGCCAGCGTGAGTACCGGTGGGGTGGGGGTGCCAGGGTGGCCCGGAGACCTGGGTCTTCAGGCTCTAGGTTGGGGGTTCCCCCCCCGCGGGGCTGGGGTCCCCTGGCAGCCGAGAGTCCGGGTCCAGAGTCCCTCCTCGCGGGAAAAGCCGCCAGAGCCACCTCGCTGCGAGCACCCGCCGGCTTTCTGTTTCTTTGTGCCAAGACTGGGAAGTATCTGGGGCAAGAAACTTTCCCCCAAGCGGTGACTGGAGGAGGCTCCGCCGGGAGGGAGGCGCAGGGACGCAGCCGGGCAGAGCAAAGCCTGGGCTGCCCAGGCCGGGAGTGATCAGGCCTTGGGCAGAGCCTCAGCCCCCTCTGAACTCCGCGGAGCCTGGGCATCTCTCCAGGGGACTCTCTCCTGCGCGCCTGCGGGGAGGGGCGCGCAGATGTGGGCCGGATCCCAGGGCCGGCCTGGCCGGCAGCATTGGCGAGCGAGCGCACCGGCAGAGCTGGCTAGCTTACTTTTTGAAAACCAGCACATGTTTTCTTGCTGACAGGAGATCATATACCATGAGATTCTTTGTGAGGATGTTGGGAAGCATCCGCTGGGCTTCTTCCACGCCTCCTCTGTCGTTGGGCCTTTGCATGAAAAAAGCTAACTTTTTTATTTTACTAAGATGAGTATTTATGCCCCTGATCCCCACCCTGGTTCATTATTAGAAGCTGTCAGATAGGAGATATTCTGGATCATTAGTATAATCACATTAAGAGATTAATGGGATAATGATATGGGCATTGAAGGCGCCTCTTTGTTTACACTCTTTGAAATCCAGGCGGGCATGTGCCCTCACCCAGATACAGGAGTGTGGGTCTCTATCTGTGCATTATGTGTCCCGAGTGTGCACACTGGCCTGGTGGGTCTGAATGTGCACAGCAGGCATCGTGCCAGTGAGGGCCTCCCTACCTGCATCTGGGTCATGTGTGCCACCCGTTAGCCAAGCCACAGAGGCAAGCCATCATCAACAGTCATGGTCCATTGTACAGGGCTGTGAGAACTGAACGCTTGACAAATGGATCAGCACAGACTGACACGTGCTACATGGTGGATGCATGTGAGGCATCTCTGAGTTCTTTTTTTTCATGAAACTGTGCATCTATGAGTTTATGGGTGTGTGTGTGTGTGTGTGTGTGTGTGTGTGTGAGAGAGAGAGAGAGAGAGAGAGAGACCGTAGTGTGTAAGGCACGGAGGAAGTGCAGGCCTACAGCTTCTCCCCTGCCTGAAGGACTGACTTGCCCACCACTGAGCCCGGATCCTACCACCCCTCCACCCCCTACCTAGCAGTTCTCTGGGATTCGAGTTTCAGACCTTGACCAATGAGTGGCTACAGATAACTCCCTTCTGGAAGCTGATGAGGATGAAGCCATTTACTTGCATACCATTCCAGAGTACCCTGAGAACTTGATTTATAGCAGGATCTCTGCTGTGGGAGAACTGTGGAGCCCTGTTTCTTGCTGCTCGTTCAGGCAGGATGTGCCTTTATACTGTCTCGGTTTACATGTTCCTCACAACTGGGAGTTAGAATGGAGATGAGCCACCATTCCCTCGGCAAGGCCTGCCCTACCCAGCTGGACTCAGCTACTTCCAAAAATCCCGAAAGTCACAATTCTTTCGAATGAGTCATGTGCTGAAATCCATGGCCATGCCCTTGGATGGGGGCATCCACGCTAAGTAAGGAGATGGCCAGGTTTGGCAGCTTTATATAGAACCCAGCGCCCCTGGCCAAACAGAAAGGATTGCATGAAGATCCAAAAGAAATCTCAGCTGTTGCTCAGTCCCTCCAGATACCTAAGGGCTGGGAGTCACATGGCATGGATAGGCCTCAGCTGGACCTTTCACAGGGTGCCCGAGTGGGCAGGTATTTGTGGGGCTTGCAGAGTCCCTTGGGAGCACACCCTGGGAAAAGAGGGGTAAAAGGATTGTGCATTGGCAGTGGGAACATTTTCTGTCTCCAATGAGTACCAAAGGCCCTTTGTCAACACGGAGGGTGTGACAAATCAAGTCAGCTTACCCTTTAAAAAAAAAAATATTTTTTTAATTATGCATACAAGAGCTGGGGCATATGCCAGAGGTATAGAGGTGAGAGGACCCACCAGACACAGAGTGGGGTGCAGAACAGGCAGATGGACTGAAATACACTGTTGAGAGGAGCAGCGGGCGAGACAGGAGAGGTCTGCTGTGCCATGTGGGTAGCTCCCTGGCCGGAGATTGAACTCATGCTACAGTGGCTGCTTCATAGTGCTGAGACTTAACCCCTTGCACCACTAGGGAGGGCCAGGTTGCCTTTTTAGTGGCAGACATATATACTAAATGATTGTGGTGGCCCCAAGCAGAACACCTTCCAAGACTGAGAAAACATGGTGAGCCCAGCCAGCACAAGCTAGAAACAAAACAGACAAATTTGAACAATCAATGAAGAGTTAATAAAAGGAAAGAGAAAGATAACTTCCCACCTCGAGGGAAGTTATTTTATTGATTTATGACATTCCTTCTATAGGTATTATATGTATGGTCTCACTCACAACAGGAATTTAGAAAACCTAAATAAGGGACCAGGAAAAAGACTAATTATAATTAAGTAAAAATCAAAATCAACAAGCAACTATAAAGCAGAGACACACTGCAGGGGGGGAAGGGAGGAATGACTAGGGTCAAAATAAGGGGGGTGGGAATTGTGTGGGGAATATAACCAAGATGAAAATGCATACACTGTGCAAAAATGAAAAATTATGTAAAAAATATATTAAATTAAATAAAAAAATAAAACCACCATATTTTCCCAAAAAAAGGGAAAACTGAGAACTTACAAGCAAGTGGCCGAAGGAAAAAAAAATCAAAGTATTATATGTGCAAATAATTACTTTTGATGCCAAACAACAAAACTTATTTTATGGATTCTACTTCATTTCGCTTTATTCCTAAGAATATATTGTGAAAATTGTACCTTATCCCCATATAGACTAGCCCACTTTCTCATTGTGTGAATTGTATGAACATACAAATGAATTGGTCATTCGATTTAACCAATTCCTCTGCAAATGGACATATGCTTGTGTACAGTCTTTATTTGATTTGTTTTAACAGTGCTACCATCACAACTCTTCTAAGTATCATTTAATGTGCTTGTATTTATGTACTTTTAGATAAATTCCCCTCAAGCCCCAGAATTTTGTGTCTGGGACAATAATTGTGTATATTTAAAATGTCAGATACTGAATCTGCCTTCTTAGAGATCATGTGAATTTCTAGCACTCACCAGTAGCTAATGAAAGTTGCTGTTTTCCCAAATCCTCACTCACATATAGTTTCATTTTGACCCATCTGCCGAGTAAACACGCCACTTTTGAAAGTGTCTGTACAATTTCAAGTGAGCTGAGCATGTGTTCATGTCTTCATAAGATGCTGTGTTTTTCTGGAAAGTACCTGCTCATGGCCTTCGCCCACTTCCCATCAGTCCTCTGGCCCCAGGAGGAAACACACCCCAGAAGGCAGTGACGTGTCCTTCCTTTCCTGGGGCCCTCGAGGCAGAGCAGAGGGGAAGGCCCTTGTGTCATGGGGCTCGACCATATCTCCAGCATGTGCTGGCTCCCAGGAGGTACCCCGTACCTAGAGCCTCAGTTCTCTTACCTGCAAGCGGGAATAATAACAGCCATTTCACAGGAACCCCGCGATGATGAAAGAGAGACTGCGGGCTTGGCACCCTGCCCAGTGACTGGTATCAGTGGCTGATGTTTTTAACGGAATTTATCAAAGCGCACCTGCCCTGCATGTGCTGCTGCTCTCCTTGGCAGGCAGCTGCTGGTTTTTACTCTTAAAATGTAACAACAGCCACAACAGTTCTATATGTCAAACGCTGTGGCTATGGTGGCCCGTGCCTGGGTGGTCACTCCACTCTAGTATCAGAGGCATTTTCTTCCCTATTTTGCAGCTAAAACTCTGGAGATCCAGGAGTTGACCTACCCCAGGGATCCCAAGTATTGAGGATGCAGCCAGGTTGTGGATACCAGCTGTCAGATGCAGAAACAATTGCAATCAACTCAAAGGGGTGGTGTGGGGAGGGGAGGGGCTGCTTCTTGGGTGTGCCAGGCTGTGTCTGGGAAATAACCACTGTAGTTTTGCACACAGAGGGACTGTCTGCATGCAGCATGTGTGCTCAGAATCTGCCAAACACTCCAAGCTCCTCAGCCAGGCCTGCAGTCCAACCTCAGTTCACAGTGCTCCCTCTTTCTGTGACCAGGCCTGACCACAGTGGGCACTGCTGCCCTCCACTCTGCCATCCACAACAGACTGGGTCTGTCCTTTACTGGGCCTCCTCATGCTGGGATCTCCCCACCTTTCTAGCTTTACCCTCACAACTACCCAATTCAGGCCTCTGAGGCTCTCTTGGTGCCCCCCCCCACATGCACAGACATATATACACACATACACATGCATGCATATAAGCACACACATATACATACACTCTGTCCATGTGGCCCACACCATGCTTGCCCATGAAGGCCCAGTCTGTGCCTTCTCTGGACATTAGAAGACAATGCACATCACCCTGGGGATACACTGCAGCCCCACAAGATTCCTAGGTGTACCCCTTCATAAAATTCTGACCACCCAAGCGAGTAACTCTGAAATAAAAGGGCTTTGCATGGACAATCCATGGTCAAAGTTCCAGGCCTGTGTCCATTCCAGACACTGAAAGGCCCTTTAAAAATCATAAATTCAGTAGCTTCTAGCCCAGAACTTGTCATAGAGTGGAGGGCAGTAAATATGAAATAGAAATGGACAGAAACTCAAATGAAAACCAATTCTAAGAACACACTGATGGGCCCCAGCTCCACCGCCTAGCTCTCCTTCCCCTCCATTAAAGACTCCTGTTTCATATTCTCCTCCCCAACCCGTCTTTACTCAGATTTTCTGCAGACCTATTGGTAATCTGAACTTCTGAGAGAATGCTAGCTCCTGCCCTTGGCT